GTGTGACAGGGGAGGCAGGAATGGCTTATCAGGTGTCACTGTGACATTGCCAAGATTCTGCTACTCTGCTAGGTCAGTGCTGTCTGCCAAAACCTACGGAGAACAACATACACAATTTCTAACTTTCTGGGTAGACACATTAAAGAAATGCAAATAAATAGGTGTGATTAATTCTAACAATGTGTCTTAGGAACACATTCTATCAAAGTATTTTTAATTGCGTTATAGCCATTCAAAAACCCTTACTGAGGTCTTCTGCTTTCTCTTCGTGCTGAGTCTTCCCAGGGGTGTTTCATGCTCTGGCGTGTCTCCATTCGCACTGGCCTTGTTTCAGATGCTCCCAGCCAGCTGCGTGTGGGAGGTCACAGCCAGGACCACAGCAGTGAGCCTGTTTTACAGTTGGGAACTGAGGCTTCGAGAAGTCAACTGCCTTAACATTTCCAATGGCATGGCAGCCGACGGTATTTTGCCCAATCTGTGTCTGTGAGCACTTAAAAATCCAGGATAAAATAGGTTTTCAAGGTCTACATAAAAATGAGGACATCCAGGTGAGTCTAGGGGACCACAGAGTCAGAGGGGTCAGGGCCAAAAGTGCTTTTGAGCCTAGATACGAGCCAGGCCCCGGGAGCATCAGCGGTTCCCGCCATGTGCAGCGGACATCCCAGCCCAGCGCCTGCCCAGGGTCCAAGAGGAGATTCTTCCTCCAAAAAACTAGAACCTTGAGTGGCTATAACCTCAATCAAAAAATCAAAATAAACCCACCCCCAGGCCCAGTGGTCCTCAAGGAATTTGCATCAATTCTGAGATGTCCCCGAAGCTGTGGCCACAGAGCCGCCTACCTGCTGAATACAGTGTGAGTCGCCCACACCCAGGAGCTCTGCGCACGCCCAGCCTCAGCCAGCGCCCACACGGTCCTGGGCCCGGTGGTGTCCATAAGGAGCAAGAAGAAAAAAAAAAAAAGAACTTAGAGGGGTTTTCAATGCACCAGAAGAATCTCTAAACATGAAAAATCACTAAATGGAAACACTCAATACACAGGTTCACTGTCAGCTTCAACACAGCTGAGTGTCGCAGGACCCGACCATAACTGTTCACAGTTCCCCCTCCTGATTTGCAGTCTGGATGGTGGTGGAGAGTGGGGGTTAGAGTGGAACCGGCCTGGGCTGAGTGTGGGCTGCAGGTCTGCTGGCCTTGTGCCCGGGTACTGCAGCTGCGTCCTCCCCTGGTCTTCTCACCTGTGGAGTATACTCTGCCTGCTTCATCCCAGAGGGATATTCGTAAGACATTTGTCACTTTGTACAGCCTACGACCAGCACTTAAGTAGTATGTTATTACAGTGGGAATCGAATCATTAGCCTTTTTAATATTATATTTTTAAAGGATTTAAAACCTGGGTCTTGATGATGCTGGAGAGTCTGAACACCAAGCCCAGTGGTTTATCTCGCCTGACCCTAACCCCTCTGTCCTGCACACCTGGATGTCTGTGCCAAGAACAGACCTTGACTGACTGCAACCCAGGGCCACAGTTGGGATGTCCCCAGGGGCACGTGGAAAAGCGCGCGCGCTCTCCAGGGAGGGGCTGTTGGGTGGCGCTGGAACCTTTGATAGGTTGGGCCTGTGGGAGGGCCAGAGGCCACGGAGAGTGTCCTCCAAGGGGACCATGGGACACTGGCCCCTACTCTCCCTCCTGTTGGCTTCCTGGACATGAAGTGAGCAGTTTTTCCCAGCCACATGCCTCTGCCATGAGGTGCTGGCTCCCCACAGGCCTCAACACCCCGTTTTACAGATGACAAATGGAAGACCGTGGCTCTCCCAGGTCACTGGTGCCACCCTTGGACCCTTGTTGGTTCTTACTCTGCTGGCCTCATGCACACGCAGAGCACGTGTCCTAGGAGCTGAGCAAGTGTGAACAGTACACCTGTCCCTGTTACACCCGGGCCTTCAGGAGTCCAGCTGCGAAGCCAGGGGCGTGACTGTGCTGCTAAACCCTGTTGCTTGGCAGCCCTGGGTCACCGAGGCCAAACCGGGAGACTCTCCAGCTGCAAACAGTCCTCTCACCCCATCTGGCTCTTGGTGTGAAGGCCAAGGAGAGTGCAGAGATGGCCCTGGAGGAGGTCCCAGGGCTCAGGTGGCGGCCACCCTCCAGACAGGGGCCCAGTGAGAAGGCGGCAGGGAAGGAGGGGCTGGGGCAGGGGGAGGACCAGCCTTGCTCTCTGCAGCCAGAGGAACAGGCTGGGAAAGCGTGGAGGATTTCTCTCTGGTCTGTGCCTTCCACACAGGGACCTGGGGGGCCTGGGGCCACAGCCAGCACCGCACACCTGCCCCCACACTTCCCCAGGCCAGTGCACACCCTGTGGGTCTCTCGTTCCCTGCCACCTGCTCCAGTTCCTCCTGCTTGGCTATCTCCACCCACTCTGTCCTCACCAGGGTCCTCCTAATGCCTCATCCCCACCCCCTGGGGACAGAGCAGAGCTGCGCCCTTCCCTCTGCCACCTGTACTTCCCAGGCAGCCCTGTGGCGCCCAACCCAGAAACAGACAAGAAAGGGAATGGGAGCTGCGACTCTGGCGCACCTAGTGGCCTCATTCCAAGCTCCAAGAGGAGGTTCACGTGTTCCTCCGCTGACAGCGGGGCTGTCTGGAGTCTCTTCCGACGGGAACATATAATTACATTTCTTGTGAAGAGAAAAAACAATGGAAACCTCTTGGTAAAAGAAGGAGGGAAATGACACTCTCCCAGCAGTGAGGCCTGCGTCCTGTTGCGGGGTCAGTGGCCTGTGCAGGTGAGTGTCCAACTGGGTCTTTCACTGGAGCCCACCAGCCACTGGCCCCTCGCTGGGTCACCTGATCTCCTCCTCACTGGCTTGCCTGCTTCTGCCTTCCCAATTCCAGTCTGTTCCCCGTTCCGTCACATTGTTGCTTCAAAATAGAAATTGGGTGTGTGTCTGTTTCAGAATATTCCGGGGGCTTCTTGTTGTCTTTACAGCAGAGTCATAAACCACCGCGCTGGTCCGACAGCCTCTGCAGTACTCTCTCTGGGTCTTGTCTGTCTCCATCCCACCCCCGCCCTTCAGTGGTCCCACAGCCTGTGGATGATAAAATGACCCTGCACAGGACGGCTTGAAAAGCTGGCTGTTTATTGATCACCTACTATGCTCTGGGCACCCTGCACACAGGGTCACGTTTCATACTCAGCGTCTCTAAAAGCATTTGCCACCCCTGTTCAGCCAAAGCCTCATGCCTGGTGAGTGGCACTGCAGGTTTGGAGCCTCAGTGGCAGGTTTGAAGCCAACTCCCTGAGCCGACAGCCTGCAGCCATCCCTGACAGGCGTGTCTCTGTCCCCTTGCCATGCTGCTTTGTGGTTGCTGAGCTGTCGTCCCTAGGCAGGGATCCCCAGGGCAGCAGAGTCTGATCTGGGGACCTGGGTCCTCCAGCCCTCTCATGGTGCTCACACGTGCTAGGCAACCACATGGTGCTGGTAGAAAATACCACGTGCCAGGTGCTTGGTGGGCACTGGGGTTCCACTCGGGTCAGGAAGAACCCAACAGTAAAGTTCTTGCCTTGTGGAGCCTGTGGTCGTAATGGGGGAGATGGTCTCGTGCTGTAATCCTAAGTGCTGGGCTGGGAGGGTCCTGGGGAACATGCAGTTGGTGGGCTTGCATGCTGGCTTAGGCAGGAGGATTGTCCTGTGAGCCCCATGGCACTCATAAGGTGTGAGTGGCACCAGCGTCTCTGCTCTGTCCACTGATTCCCATGTGCTGATCAGGGAGCGGATGGGTCCTGCCCCTCCTGGTTCTCAGAAATCTCTGCAGCACCAGAGCCTCTTCCCTGCCGCGGGGACAGTGGGATCCTGGCTGGCGGCCCTGCCGGTCTGTACGTGACTATTCCCTGGCTTGCCCCGTGGGGATCCACTGAGGCCGCTGCCAGAGGGACAGCTGGACAGAGCAGGGCATGCTCTCTGCTCCTGGAAAGAGGCAGCCGCCTACCCTCCGCTTCTACAAAAGGAAGTGAGCATTCTCTCTGGTTTCTAAGGATACGGATCATGGTGACTTGGGAGCTTCCTGTCTGTAGTGCTCTGTGTGCCCGCCACGTGACTGCCACTCCTGGGACTAGGACACTGTGGCACTGTGAAGTTAGCTTGACCACAGTCCCACCGTGCCCCTCCTTGGCCTCTAGACTGTGAGACCTGGGAGAGGCCAGCCTCCAGGAGAAAGGGCAGCCCAGGTCCCACCACTTGCCTTTGTGTGCATGGGGGGGTGGGGTGGTGAGGGAGCCCTCTGCCAAATGGGTGATAAAAAAACAATTTGGGGGACTGTGTGACCATGCACATTGAAGTGTTTCTGGACAACATGCACCACAGGGGCTTTCCTTGAGGCTACCAGTTTGGAAACTCATCACTTAGAGGCATGTTAAAGAGTATGCTCAAACTGGTCATTATCACCTGGAAGAGGAAGTCTTACATTTTCACAGTCTCCATTAAAGGCACATTATCAGCTTTATCAAAGCCTTGAGGATGACAACCGGGATTCACCCCTGCCTTCCGGGGCTGGAGCTGCTTCTGAGTCCACATCCCCCTCTTATCCCGGGTGCCCACAGACATCGCCATAGCAGAGGAAACATGGTCACTTGTTGTCCTTTGGTAGAGTCTGTAAGTGTGCTCCTTGGTCATTTTCCAGGAGGTTCAGAATTCCTGCATCGGCTCACGCTGCCTTTGCTGTTGATGCTGTGGCTTCAGTCTGTGTCATTTATTTTATTTTCTCCCAAGGCGTGTAAGGGCGGACGTCGCTGGCTGTCCCAGAGCTTCCCCTGTTCCCTGGAGCTGGAGGTCCCTCATGCTTCCTTCTAAACCCTCCTAAGGACTGGGTCTAGGCTGAGAGGATCCGGGACTTGACGCCTAAAAGTTCTTCCTTTCCCAGTGGGGAGGGCAGCGCCCTGGCCAGAGGGACCCACCAGAGATCACAGGATGGCAAATAAGTGTCCTGTCACTGTGGTTTGTTCCAGAGCTGGTGATGTTGCTGGAGTGGTGGTCGGGCACAGAGTGCACCATCTACACGGACCCGAGGGCCTTCTCCAAGTATGGCACGGAGAACGCCATCGTCGTCCTCAACCACAAATTTGAAATCGACTTCCTCTGCGGCTGGAGCCTGGCGGAGCGCTTCGGGATCTTAGGGGTAAGCGGGGCGCGGCTGCCTGCTCGTGCGTTTCTCTAACGTAACTAGCATAACCTGCCTCTTTGCTCTCCTCCAGGGTTTGCCAAAGAATCCGTAGAGTTTTTGCCGGATGAAATGTTCTTTAAAAGCTGCTTTTCATTCTTGCTGGGATCAGGATTAACATCTTATGAGCAATAAGGGGGGATCCTCATCATTGCTGTAGGCCAGGCATTTAATAGTTCATTCCATCTTTATAGAAGCAGAGTAGGTGATATGCCAGTGGGTGACATGTGCCACCCTCCCTTTTTAAGTTAGAGCTTAAATATTCTGCTCAGGGTCACACAGCTGTAATTGGATTTGGATTTGAACTTGTCTAGTTTGACTCCCGTCCACATTCTTAATTACCCTGCCTGCCTGCCTGTGTGGCTCATGGAATTCATCTCTGAATTTCCATCATCGCAGGCTTAAGAATGAGCTCCCAAGTGAGCAAGTTTGAATGGCACAATTCCAAAATATTATTAAATTCTGTTTTTCTCGATTTGGTTTGATTTCTTCTTGCATGCAGCTCACATACATTTGGAACTGTGTCTCCCCCATTGGACTTTGTCATCTTTAATGCACGAAGGTGGGTCATGGTTAAGCTGGTGTCACATCCCTGAATCTCCAGCGGCACTGGACAGTCGCAGTGGGAAGCGCAGTGTCCGTCCGTGGGCCTGGGCTGGAAGGGCTCTGCGCCCCTCGGCCTGGAGGCCAGGGCTTTGCACCTGGGAACCATGCCCTGCAGACAGCGGGGACTGTGCATGTCACCCTTGTTCTTGGCAGCCCATGGAGACCCCGGAGGACGGGGACTGGAGGAGTTTGTGGGGCTGGGTTCTCTGGGAAGGGGAGGGAGCCTCCTGCTGAGAGCTTGTCTTTCATTTTCCTATTTACTCTCCAGTGCCTCTTTGGTGTGTGTGTGTGTGTTTTCAAAACAAAAGCAACAATTCTGGCACAGTTTCCCCCTTTATCTTTGGGGGATAAGTTCCAAGCCATTTTGAGGTTGCCCTACTTTGTTCAGATTCTTCTGAACACCGGTGTGTACAGTTTTTCTTACAAATACAAACCTAGGATAGACTTTAATTTATAAATTATTCACAGTAAGAAATTAACAATTGCTACTATAAAACTGAATAATTATAATAATATACTCTAACAAGAGTTATCTGAAATTGCTGAGTTGTTTATTTCTGGAACTTTCCACCGTTGCTCTGGGTAACTGAGGCTGTAGAAAGTGGATCATGGCTAAGGGGAGCCACTGCCCCACCCTCTTCTGCCTCAGAGCTCCTGGCCTGGGGTCTTGGTTACCTTTCTGTGATTTGCATTCTCTCTGAGGCAAGCGCACCCTGAACATGTCATAGTCCCTGACCTGGTCGGAGATGGACCCTTCCTGTGTTTGGGAGGGGGCACAAGGGGATGGCTCTCAGAACCTGCTTCCTGATGTGCAACACCCCCTGGCGCCAGTGCTCACAGGTCGTCCAGGCAGTGGTACCCCAGGCTTTCCAGTGGCTTTGGTGGCATTCCTGCTCAGAACCGTAAAGATGCCTGCAGTCTGCAGCAGGGGTGCCTGGGCCAGAGCAGAAGGCCTCCTGGGCTCCTTGTGCGCTCCATGCCCTTCATCTGTGCCGTGGCCAACCTTGTACATCATCAGTCCCACTCCATAAATGAACTCCCAGAGCCCCGACCTTGCCCAAGGGCAGCAGCTAGTGAGCCACGTCCAGAGTCCTGCTCCTCCCCAGGAGGTGTAGAGGGAAAGCCGGGCCCCAGGGCCTGAGACCTGCTTCAGAGATGTTAAACAACAGGCCAGCAGCGGGGGACCAGGCAGACCAGGCTCCTAGCACCACCCTAGCTTGGGGTGCACCAGGGCTCAGTCCGAGGGCTGGGAGTCATCAAGTCCTCACCAGGGGCTGGGGATGTGGCTCAAGCGGCAGCGCGCTCGCCTGGCATGCGTGCAGCCCGGGTTCGA